AAAAGGGCTATCAAAGGCATACATTCTAGCTTTGCAGTGATTGACTACCCTCTTCTGACCCTGAACAAGGACCTCAAAGCCTTGACTCCTCAACCTGACCCTGGTAGCTCCAAAGGTTCCAGACTCTCTCACTTTACCCCACTATCAATTACTTAGTTTGGATCTCCATTTGAATCAGTTGCCAAGTGAATTTCAAAAGACAAAAGCCCCTTAGAAGTTAATCTTGTGAGTCAACTCCAAGTTCTAATAAATAATTAAGTAAATAAGTAAGTAAGTTATCTTTGGAAAATGAATTCCACTGGACTTAAATCAGGCCTTTGGTCCCAAAAGGACCCATGGCTAGAAACAAATGTCGATGCATGACAAAGCAGTCCGGGATGTGGAAGGAACACCAGTGAGTAACCTGCTGAGAGGAGAAAAGATCTATGGCAAACCTCATGTTTCAACCCACAAACTGCTTTTGTGACCAGGGGTAAGTAATTTTATCTCTTTGGCCTCAGTTTCCTCAAATGTAAAATGAATAGATGGGACCAGATGATCCCTAAGGATTTTTTTTTCCTCATCCCCTTCACAGCTCTTTAAAAAACCAAGTCTAAAAAATATGGAAATTAACTAAAACCATTTACAAGATGGATGTAGCCAACAAACATCAACATTATCATCTCATCAGATCCAGCTGGGAATGATGTCAAAGGATTCAAAACATTTCTTTCTTTTTTTTTTTAAATAAATGATTCCTTTTGGCTTCCAATATTCGAAGTGTTCTTATATATCATCATATTTTAATTATTAATTTAATGTTTGCCTAATATTTTGCATCCTCAGAGTGACTCATAATATTGAAAGAGTTGGAACAGTATGTATTGAAAGGAATCTTTTTCCTTGCCAATGATTCCCATAGCTTTAATTGATTTATAAGAATTAAGATGGATGACTAAGACAGGAATCATTCCTCTTTCTTTTTCTAGGTCTTCCCCATCCAGGCTCCTCTAGGCTTCATCTCACAATGTACCTAAATATCAAAAATTCAATCTTAGATATCCTCAATGTGGGATCTTGCTCCTCCAAAACGGGTTACCCCCCCCAAAAAAAACCCTTTGCCTCAGTTTCCTCAACTGTAAAATGGGAGTAATAATGGGTGTGAAATGTAACAAAAAACTGACTAATAACCATAAACAAATGCAGCACGGACTTAGAAATCAATTCAGGGCCATCTGGTCTGATTTCTTCATTTTGCAAATGATACATTTAAGACCCAGTGAGGTTTAATTGACTGATCCAAGATTATGTAGCCTGCAAGGGAGGTTCAAAGTATAGTATCTTATTTCAGTAACCTGATCCCAGTTATCCCCATTATTTTATCTTAAAAGAGATCATAGATTTAGAACTGGAAGGGATGCTAGCAGTCATCCAGCCCAAACCCTTAATTCTATAGATGCAGAAAGTAAGGCCAAGATAGCTTACATATTGTAGTCAAGTTAGGTAGCTAAACTGGCATTTGGCCTCTCCAGCTTAAGAATTTCTGTGGCCAAAAAAAAAAAATCCACCATCCTGTGACAAAGTTGGTGATGAGCCTCTCCCAAATGAGCAAGGTTCATTCTCTTTTTTCCCTTTAAAAATAAGGTTTTATTTTTTAATTAACAAAAATATATTTTCTCAACCTCTAACCTGAGCCCATTGGGGTAGAGGATAGGGAATTACTGATAGCAAATATGCATAGTCAAGCAAAACAAATTTTCTCATTTTCCATGAAAAATAAAGAAAGAAATGGATGGAAAGATAGATGAATAAATGAATGAAGAGAGTACATAGGTAGGTAGATAGATATATAGATACATACATAGACATACATGTTTCATTTTATAACCCAAATCTATAGCATGTCTCTGTAAGGAGATGCTTCATGTTTCATCATTGGTCCTCTGGAATCACAAATAGTCATTGTATTGATCAGAGTTCTTACAGTTATCAAAGTGGTTTGTTTTCACAATGTTGCTGTTATTACATAAATTATGTCCCTGGTTCTGCTCATTTCATTCTTCATCAGTTTGTAAAAGTCTTCAAATTAGTTTATTTTATATTTTGATATTATAATGTAAATTGTTCTGATTCTACTCACTTCACTCTGCATCAATTCATACAATTCTTTCCATGTCTCCTTGAAATCAACTATTTCTTCTTTTCCTACAGTACAATAATATTCCCCCATTCATACATAATATTTTGTTCAGCCACTTCCTAAATGATGCGTATCCTTTTAACTTCCAGTTTTTACCACCACAAAAAAGAGATGCTATAAATATTTTTGTACACATAGGAGCTTTCCTCTTTCTTTGATTACTTTCAAATGTAGTCCTAAAAGCAGTATATCTGGGTCAAAGGATATATACCACTGTATTGACTTTTTATATGTAATCACAAATCCTTCTGGAATGGTTTATCAATCTGTAGCTCCAATATTGTGCCTTTCCCCCCCATAGTCCCTACCGCATTTGTCATTTCCCTTTTTATAGTCATCTTAGCCAATTTTATGGATGTGAGGTATAATCTCAGAATTGCTTTCATTGACATTTCTATAATTAGTGCTGATATGGTGATATGAATAACTGTTAATGTGGCTAAAGATAGCTTGGTTTACTTCTCTTAAACTGTCTGTGCATATCCTTAAATCATCTACCAACTGGTAGAGTGATTCTTATTCCTATAAATTAGAATAATATATTAATATATGATTACATATACCTATTATATATGCCTTACATAGTATATTACATTCATATATTTACATTATATATAATCCACATATATTTAAGAGACAAAATGACGGAGAGAGGGAGAGGGAACTTTATCCCAGAAACATGCTGCCAGCTAGGAACATCTTGGAACAAGATGTCATCACTGGGCTTATCTTGGTAGAATCTGACAGAGTTTGTTTTCCACTGGCATAATTTCTAAGAATACAAAGCCACCTCCACATTGTATCAAAGCACCACATTGAGACTACAGTGGAGGCATAAAACTCTGACAGTTACTCCAAATTATCAACCCCTCACCCTATGTCAAAGGAGGACAGGGAGAAGAGATGCACAGGGTGGGCAGTCAGGAATGGGTCATGATCTGCATCTTTGGGAGGAGAACTCATATTAGTGATAAAACAGACTCACTGGAGGATTTGAGCAAACATGAACATTGGAAAAAGAAGTGGACTTGAGATTTTATTGATACTCCCAAATGAGGAAGCTCCCTCTAACTAATCCAGGTAAGCACATTTTCTGCAACACCTAGTCTCCATTCCCTAGAATACTGGAAGTTTAAGTCACTTGCCCAGGGCCACATAGGCAGTATACAACAGAAGCAGGGTTTGAACTGGGTTTAAGGCTGACTCTCTATCCATTACAGCAGATGTGTCAAACTCCTGGTTCTTTGAAGTCTGCAAAACTCCCCAGTGTGTCAACCAACTTGAAATGTAATTGGGGGAAGAGGGGCAGCTAGATGGTGCAATGGATAGAACACTGGCTCTGGAGTCAGGAGGACCTGAGTTCAAATTCAACCTCAGACACTTGACACTTACTAGTTGTGTGACCTTGGGCAAGTCACTTAACCCTGACTGCCTCATCAAAAAAAAATGTAATTGAGAAATATTTAACAAAATAAATAAAAATACAATACAACATAGATTTTGTTTACTTGTGATTGTCTATGTAAATACCTAGTTGGGAACAAAATAGAAAAATAAGTAAATAAAAAGCCAATGAAAGAGGATCTAGGAACAGGAGATGCATGATTAAGGCATTATTTAAGGGTCTGTAGCACAGGGTCCTTGCAAAAGCCTAGGAAGTAATAAATTATGAATGCAGATCCTATATTTAACAGGAGATCGTACAAGTTATGAAACAGAATCTATCTTTAATAAGTGCCAGGAACCACTTTCAATCTTGGTTAACAACCTCACATGTTCTGTCTCAAGTCTCTGTTCAAAACAGAATGTTTTATGTGAAAAAAAAAACATTTTAGAAATCAGTTGCTGATGGTCTAGTTTATGGAGTCAGATTATAAACCTTTGAGACTGCTGAGGAAATTATTGGCATGAAGGCCCAGGTGTACTTAGGGAGGTTTTCTCACTCTTCTGTCTCATAGCTCCCACCTTAAACACATGGAATAATTTAGGCATGGTCTACTGTCACCTACCAGGATGCTGACTGAACCCCTTCCCATTTGTGAGTACACCATTCACAATATTATGAAAAAAAATTATTAAAAGAGGAAAACAAAACTGAAATCTCAAAGATGTATGTAAACTTCTATTCTTGTTATTGCTGTTCAATTGTGTCTGACTCTTGGTAACCCCACTTGGGATTTTCTTGGCAAAGATGCAAGAGTGGTTTGCCATTTCATTCTCCAGCTCATTTTATAGATGAGGAAACTGAGGCAAAGGGAGTTAAGTAATTTGCCCAGGATCACACAGCTTGTGTCTGAAGTCAGATTTGAACTCAGGAAGATGAATCTTCCTGACTCCAGGTTTGGCACTCTACCCACTGCACTACCTAACTGCCCTTATGTAAACATTAAGTCACTTTTATTCCTGAGAATGAGGAGTCTTCATTTATTCCTAATGTGAATTTTGTTTTTATTTTGTCTAGTCTTATAAAGTAGTCCCTTGGTAGTTTGATTGGCATGGCACAAAACTGGCAATTAATTTAGATAATATCATCATTTTTAATTATATTGACATGGCCCAACCATGAACAGTGAATGTTGCTCCAATTATTTGCCTTCCTTTATTTCTATAAAAATGGTTTTGTAGTTGTAGTTATATTAGATCAATGAAGATTATTTGCAGCTCTTTCACCTTGTCTCTTTTCCCCTCTCTCTTCTATTTATCATGCCCACCCTTCACCATGCTTACCTTGGAACAACCAAGAGAGGAGGAAGGCAATAAAATACTACAGCATTGCCTAATTGCAAAGTCAGAAACCCAGGGAAAGGAGGGTAAGACTCACCCCAAAGATGAACTATTACTGGGCAAAGATAATCCTGTGGTTTTACACTTGGTGTGGAAATCCAGTTAAGTGAATTCTCTCTTTTTGCTTGTGTTGCATGGATTAAAAGCTAGGATCAGGAAATGATAACTTGCTCTTCCTTCAAGTAGTTGACTGTAAAGAAAATAACTGTTATTTAACTGTGTAGGGTATAATGGTGTGATGTAATAAAGAATACTTTGTGAGTCAAAAGACCCAAAGAATAGCCCTACATTTGTCATTAACTCATTATGTAACTGAGAAATGAAACATCAATTCAATTTCCTAATCGTTGAAGTGCGTACCTACTACTTGCCAGGAACTGAGTGCTATGCAAAGATGAGTAGAACTTATCCTCTGAACCTCCTGGAGTTTAAACTTTAGTAAATTGCTTAATTTATCTGGCCCTTTTCTGTAAAATGTGAAGATAAAATTCAATAACCTCTCAGATCTCTTTCAGCTATAAAACGGGATAAAAGCAAAATTCACATTAGGAACAAAAAAGAACTCTTCATTCTCAAGAATGAAAGTGACAATGTTTATATACATCTTTGGGGGGTAGTGCTAAAAGGCCCAGATATGGAGTCAAAAGAGTTTGAATCTCATCTCTGACACTCTCAGGCTAGGTAGCCATTAGCAAGTTACTTAAAGTCCCCAAACCTCAGTTTCCTTGTCTGTAAAAGGGGGTAAATATCCCTTTCACTCCTTCTTTCACCATAGGGAAAAAGACAAACTTTAAATTACAACTTAAATATAAGCCATGTTATTTGTAGGCATCTTCTTTAAGAAACAGGTTCATTCAAGAAAGATAACTGCTGACCACTGCTTCCATTGTCTCTGAGGCAGAGGGATGGGGGAAAGGTGTGAGGAGGGAGAGGAGCTTGAGGGGATGAGCTACAAAAGATATTCCAAGGACAACCCATATCAGAAAGCAAAGAACTTCATATTTCTTTCTTTCTTCACTCCCAGAGCAGTAG